TTAACTCCTTTCGGGCTCTTCTCGATGATCAGGGTTCCTTCAAACCCATTCTTTACTGCCTCAACAACGGATGTGAGAGCAGGTTCAGGATCATGTCGAATGATCAGTTTGGAGTATCCTAGTTTCTTGATGTCGTTCAAAAGTACTTTGGATCCATATGGACCTTTTGTCACACCTTTATAGGGCAACACATGAGCAAAAAGATGCTTCGTCCATCGATCTCTGACAACAAGAATTGGTGCATGGGTCTTCTCGTCCAAAACTACATCATCAGTTCGTGAATTCATGAAACAGTAGTCTACAGTTACTACTGGGGTTGTCTCATCGGTGTGGTCTATCTTCCTGTGGGGGTTTGCCTTAGCTTTTCCCCTTACACAGGCTTCACACCAAGACCTAAAAGGGAAGTGTGAAACAGCATGCTCTTCAAACTCTTTTCGCGTCGGGCGAATGGGAGCATGGATTTTGAGCTCAGGCGGCACTTCGTCGCCTGGCTCGGCCTCTTCGGCCTGCTCGTCCTCTACCGGACTTACCCATTGCGGTGCCGGACGAAAGGGTGGAATGCAAGCGGCACAGAACAGACGCCGTTGCTGAACGAGATCGGAATCTTAGTCTCGTCTCGGGAGATCTGTCCACCAGATCCGTGCATCTGAATGCACCAGCCCTTGCTCATAAGGGCCCCCGCGGAGAGCAGCGGTTTTGCAACCGCCATCACCCGGAAACAGCAACGTCCATTGAGGGAGTTCTGGCCGATGCCGATGGTCACCTCGGCATCGATCTTGCCAAGGTCCTTGACCACTTCGCCTGAGGCAGTCTTGTAGACTTTGCAGGTGCCTTCAGGCTGGATAGGCTTGTAGCCCAATGCGGTGGCCAGTTCAACAGGGATGCAGGAGGTCGCGGCTCCTGAATCCAAGGTCACCTGATGAGCCATTGGTGTTTCCATGGATGCCAGCTCCAAACTCCTGAGAGCTAATAGATCCTCCTCGCCCTCATCTGGCTCACTCGAAGGTGTGGGATATCGTTTTCCCTTTCCCTTCTTGGCCTCACGGGCAGCATCCTGAGTGGCCACGTTGACGGCTCGAGTCAACTGCACTTTCTTCTGCTTGCCCTTTCCTTGGCCCTTCTCGGAGGCAGCCGGAGCCGAAGCGGCTCGGCTTTTGCCCGGGGATCGTGACCGGGACTTCAGCCGAAGCGTCTGCCTTGGCGCTTCGCTGGATTCCTCTGGCTTGGGTCCTGGTCCACGGAATCGCTCTAGGTGCTCTTCAGTCGAGCTCTTGAACCAGGCCATGCGCTCCTCCTTGGTCTTGCCCTTCTTCTCAGGAGGTGGAGGTGTCTTGGCAATGCGCCTTTGCTTTGGCGTCTTTGGGCCAACCTCATCTTCCTCCTCCTGTTCTTCCATCATCTGCTGCATATGGGCTGTCATGTAGAAAGGACCTCCTTTCTTGACAGTCTCAAGCTTTGGATCTTCCATCTTCAAATGCTTTGCCACATCTTCGGGCTTCAGATCCATGTCGGCATCTTTCACATGCTTTGGCGCATCTTTTGAAGTTGGGCTGCCTTGCTGTCCCTTGGCAGTCTTGATGCGCTTTCCCATCTCCTTCTGCTTGATCGTCCATTCCTTTGCCCACTGGTTGAGGACTTTTGGCGGGCAACAATTCAAAGCCATATGGTGGTTCCATAGGCCGGTGTCATTGTCACACCTCAGGGCCTTGTTGCACGCACGGCAGACCATGTTCTTGCTGCCATCTCTGTTCTTGTGGGTGCATTTGGCTACCCATTCATCATAGCTGAGGATGCGCTCTTGGAACATGTGATCGAGCCATGGCACGGTATCTTTCTCTTTTTCTTCTTCTTGTCCATCTGACTCCTCGTCAGCTGGCTCAGTGCCATTCTCATCCTCTTCAACTTCACCTTCAAACTCTTCTTCTTCTTCGAGTCCCTCGAGCTCAGTCACATCAAGGGGATTGATGTTCTCCATGACTGGAGCTGCGAAGGATGGTGCGCTTGTTGCTCCTTCGCCTTGGCTTTCGACGCGCTTCATCACAACATAGTCCTCTGGGTTGAACCCAGCTGCAGTGAGCGCCTTGTCGATGACACTGCGGGCTGGATGGCTAGTAGCCGTCCATGTCTGGCTTTCCCGCTTCATCTCTGCCAACTCTTGAGTGGAGAGATCCTCGATCTTGGGCTCCTTCTCTTTTGGCTTCTCAGGCTTCTTTGCCTTTCCTGGCTTCTTGTAGCCACGATGCCTCTGGGCCTTTTCTCGACCTCGAGGCTGAGGGGCTTCATCAAACTTTCCCTCATCATCTTCATCATCCCAAGCTTGAAGTCGACCAGTACCCTTGGCACGAGCGATCTCATAGTAGTCGAGCTCCTCAGGGTAATTGGCCTCATAGTCGCGCCAGGATTCGAAACGATCCTGGGCCTTCTCAACGCGATGCTGCTCGGCGCGCTGACGGCTCTTCTCTTTCTTCTTGGCCAATCTCGGGTCCATACCTGATGCCAAATCAGCTGAGAGCCTTGGCGACTCCGCCGGAACCGAAGCGGCTCGGCGAGGAGTTGGCCTCTTCAGCAAGATCTTGGCTTCTCTCTCCTTTTCTTCATACTGTTCTTTCAGCCTCTTCATCTCGGCCTGTTGTTCCAAGATGGCATCATTGGCTGCTTTGCCTTTGGCTTCGGCCTCTTCGATGGCCTTCTGGATTGTCTCAGACTTCCTCTCATACAGCTCGCGATTGGACTGCATGGTCTCTTGGATTGCTTGGTTCATGACTGCAATCCCAGCAGCTGCAATTCCAGGACGACCTTTTCCAGCTCCTGGCTTCTTTGGCATAGCCTTGACTTCAGTCTCAGCTTTTGCCTTGGCTGCTCCACGAGAAATTGCGGCAGGTGCTGCTTTCTCCATCTCGATGGCAAAGAGGGTGGCGATGTCAGCGGAATACTCAGGCTCGGGTTGATGCTCTTGAGCCATAGAGGTTTCAGATTCCTCAACTGAAGCTACCTTCTTACTTTTACCCTTGCCTTTACCTTTAGAGTCTTTGCCTTTGCCACCTTTGCCTTTACCCTTGGAGTTTTGGTTGTACCAACTACTCCTGTTCCAATCATTCTTATACCAATCGTTCTTGTTCCATGAGTTGTTCCATGACGAGGGATTGGACCATGAAGAACCTTTTCCCTTCTGTTTACCTTTGTCGTTTCCCTTGCCTCCATCTTGACTCTTTCCTCTTCCTTTGCCGCCTTTTGAGCCACCTTTGCCTTTTCCTTTGGCTTTAGCCAGACTTGCAAGTGAAGACTGCATCTGGCTGGCAGCTGCGGCTAATGCATCAACATCCATTGGTGCTGATCCAGTCTTTGCTTCTTTTCGGCTCTCGATGTTCTCGAGGTAGGCCAAAATCTCTGACTTCATGATGGCATAGTCAGTGAGTCTCGAACTCTGGAGGTCAAGGTGATCTTGAAGTTTGGCTGGACACATCTGCTGAAGACAACTTCTTGCGATGTCATCACCAAGAGCTTTCTTCTTCCGCTCTTCATACTTTCGCCTGATGTTTTCCCAGGCTTCTATGCTCTCTCTGAGCTTGTCCAATGCACACTGTTGTGGGTGCAGGACCTTCTTCAGCAAAGCTGAGTTTGCTTGTGGGTTCTGTGGATCATACTTGGTGATCAATCGTCTCAATGCCTCTAGGCCAAAGTGCTGACCTCTGGAGGTATTCTTGACAATCTCGAGGGCTTCTCCCTCACACAGTGAGATCAGAGCCTGTCGGGCCTGAGCTGAAACAAGCTCGGCTCCTTCAGGATAATCATCTTCCAGAGATGTCTCATTGATCTCTGTGTCTTGATGCTCTTCGAGGAGCTGAATGCACTTTCCTGCATTCTTGTGACTTGTCTCAATCCAAGTCTTGAACTTGAAGTACCATGAATCCCAGGTACCTGGGTGTCCACTGAACTTGTCAGGCTTTGGAATGCCTTTCAACTCGGATCTGTCTCTTACTTCCACGCTAGTGGCTATGTTCCTTGTGATTGCCGTTTGTTGTGTATATGCTTCTGCCATTGCTCGTTGCAATTGGCTCTGCCCCTGTGCTAGGGCTTGCATCATCTGTGCAAATTGTTGTGCCATGTCTGTGGCCTGTGGTGCCTGTGCTCCTGGCTGTTGCGCCATGTTGACTTGCTAGCCAGGGATTGAAGCAATCCGGCTTTCCTGCAAGTGATGCTTGTTTTGTGAATCTCTGGTGCCAGAGCCGATGCGGCTCGGCGACCTTCGATTCGCAGACGGTAGCCGGGTCTTAGAACCGCGGCTCCGCTACCATGAACGGAGAATTTAGGCTCTTAAACTCTGTGACCCCAAGTCACTGTCCCAAAGGTTGTAATAGAAGCTTAGGCACACTTTTAGCTCCACTCCAAGCGTAGCTCTGGTAGTGAAATGAACACAAAAGTAAACCACAACTTGAACAAACGGCTGCAGTGAAACATACATCTATACAAGCTATGTCATGTACATGTAACTGGTGCTACATCTGATCACCTAGGAAAAGCCAAAAAAACAAAAAAACAACTTGGGAAACAAAAAAAACACAATTCTGGGGAAGTCTTGAGGAAAGGGGGGGGTCCAGCCAAGAGTCTCTGAGAATTGTTTTTTTTGTTTTTGGTTTTTCCAAGTTTTTTAGTTTTTTTGGTTGTTTTCAATGTTTGTTGTTTTCTCTATATTTTCTCGAGACTGCTTGTGTTTGTTTTCCAGTGTAAAGGACATTGAGGCAGCTTTCACAGACACATAGCATGAATGCAGGCCACAGTGGGAAGTTTATAGCACATAGATGGAAGTAGGCAGCAAAAAAACATAAAATACGCACTCTGGTGGTCCCCTGTTTTGAAAAAAAAGGGTCGGCGGCACCAGGGCGGAGAGCTTACAATTACATGCAAAAGATGCACAGTGAGTTTCCTATCATGACCCTTGACCGGAAGCAGCTGCAGTTCATCTCGACTTGCTCGATTGCAAAACAACTGGGGCACCGTGCCAAGCGATCCTGGGTCGAACCGCGACGATGTGGATTTTGGACTCTCCTGCACCAAATGGAGCGGCAAACATAACAGCTTATGAGTTGACAACATGTATTCTTTACTAAACAAAACAAACTGCCAAGAATTGATCATCAAACACCTGCAAAGTGCAACTTATGTTTGGAGAGAATGACAACTTCACAAATCTTTGGACTCACGTTTGCTGCCTCTATGACTGGAAAGCCCACGTGGACATCACGTCCAGGAGGAGACCTCATCAAGCAGATCAAAAAGGGCTTAGCAATTGTCGAACATAAGCATGAAATCACTGAAGCAGAATGCTTGGCTTGAGATCCCGTTGGAGGCCATCACTAGTGGGGTTGAGGCCATCGCTACTAGGTTGGAGGATACGTATACTGTATATATAGTTGTAAATAGTAGTAATAAATATATATATAAACAAAGTGGATGGTGCAAGACTCAAGTCTCTTGCCTTGGATCCACATGGCTTGGGTGGCTCGATTCAGAGCTTGGCTCAATTACCACCTGGAGCAAACAAACAACTCGATGAAAAGGTCCTCACAATCACCATGCAGCAAGCGAAAGTCTTCCAAGTGACTCTTTGTGCTTCTGGAGTTTTAGGGTGGCTTAGCCAAGTGGACAGGAATCTGCAAAGGCGCCAGGGAATGCAAGCCAAGGGCGGGCCCAATAGTTCATGTGAATTGATAGAGTGAACTGGTGCCCCCTCGAATCCAAACGAAGCCTCGTTCAATTCCTCAACTTATGTGTGATCAAAGTCTTTTAGCTTGGGGCGGTGCATGGTAAACAATATATTTTCCGTTTATGGTGGTGTTGCAAATGTTAGGATAGTACGTGAGCCTCTGAAGCATTGTGATGATGAGGAATTGCCAATGAGCTGTGGGTAATATGACATGGGTGAAGAATGCCCATTTGCGTAGCCGTTAAATGCCACTGAGATGAAGTTGTCACGAGATCCAGCTACGATGCTCAAATTCCCGTGTCTGCACGCAATCAAAAGATGCGACCGTTCTAGAACGCTTGCAGGGACTCAATGCACTTACTCAATTGTTTCAGCCAGCTTACAGGGGAGGGAAGGAGAGGAAGGGAGGAAGGTTCATGGATCTTTGTCAGATGCCAGAGAGACAGACAAAACCACACAACAATGACAACCAGAGAAACAAAAAATGAACAAACGAATAAAACAAAAACATCGCACGAAGCACCTTTCTCGGAAACCCATTTGGCAGGACACGCAGATCGAGCGTCTAGAGTGCAGTCAGCTTGACGTAAATATTAAATACAGCGTCAACCGCGGCTCTGATGGCAACACTTTTGTTAAGCAAATCATTGCGTTCTCGGCGCCCCAACAGTTTTTGACCCATAAGTACGCATTTAAAAAGTATACATCTCAACTAGATTGTATCTCATGAAGGGGCTACTCCTTCGAACAGCTTTCGGTGCTCACCCTTCGTTTCTCTTCCATTCGCATGGTCTGATCTCGCCAGTGGCGCTGATAACCTGTGTTCAAACAGGATTTGCGTTGGGATGCTTCGCAGCACATACCTCCCCTCAGGTGCAGTCTCTCTCCTTTGGGTAATCTGACTAGTCAGATGAACAATGCAAACCCAAGTCGTCCAAGACCTGCATGATTATGTATACTGTATATATCAGTATCTAGATACAAGTTCAATGGATACGCCCGCTTCGGATGCAAGGTCATGGAGACCGCTCCAAGATGGGATGGCTGGCAATGGATCGACAGGAAGATAAAGCACGGATTTGCACATTGGATAAACAAGTAGAAAGGATGGATGGAGGGATGGAGGGACGGCAGGATGACAAGAATGAAGAATTACAAAGAAGGAGGAGTGATGGATAGTGGGAAGGATGGATTGGATAGATTTCAGTGTAGATTAATTGCCTTGTATCACCTCGCTACTAGGTTGGAGGCCATCGCTAGTAGGTTGGAGGCCATTGTATGTCCCTTCTGGTGCACTTGAGTTCTGTCGGCACCCGCAGCCACATGCGCCCTTTGCCCGTTCCATTAGTCTCTGCGCTGGCAACAACTAAACATCTTCTACGCACGTTACTGGTAGCTCGACTGTTCTTATGTATCCCCTTTGAGGGAACATTGTTGGGGGAATGGGTTGCTTCTTTCTTCCTTTCAAGTCGGTTTGGATAGAGAAAAGAAAATCCTATGCATCTTCCTGCGCAATAGTAGTATATAGGCATCATTTGATGCCTCTCAGTAGCATCATGGTTCACTTGTTTCAGTCATACTTGCAATCCCGGTGGAGGCACGACAGACACACTCAAGACGCCATCGCGGCCTCCATATCTCTGGTATGGTGTCGATGAAACGAAAAGAAACGGCAGCACCTGCAGCTGAGGTCTGCCGAAGACTGGACAACAGGGCCAACATTCTTGTGTGCATCTTCAGAAAGGAAAACAGATGCAAGACATATGCAAACACAGTTGCAACAATTATATACATATATTCACCTTCCAAAGCTGAAACTTTTGGGACCAAGAATTGGATGCACATTCCCAGCAGTGATACTGCTCCAGCTTTAACCAAAAACGCTCTGCAGACCGCCAAATATCAAACTGCCAAGGTACACCCACCAACAAAGCTACAAAAATGACAGTGATCCTGCAACCCCTACTGACACAAAGCTGCGAATTTCGAACGGCGACAAAATCCAGCTGGGTTCCAAACCACCGCTCTTCCAAATCCTGACATTGACCCACTTATATACATTAGCAAGCATCTGAAGATGTCCAACTGTTGGTCCTATTATCATGAATCATGAACCTTATATCGTTTCCACTAGAAATGTTTAAATGTTTACAATTCAGCCTGTGTGTTTGATTGAACAACTGACATTCTCTTCTATGGGCCTCGCTCCGATGGCATCCCCCTCTCACCCCACACAATGATTTTTTGCCCTTGTTCTTCTTTGGTGCATGATCCTTCGGCAATTTCTTGTTTCTGCTCCATGCCTTTTCCGATGCAAGAATGAAAATGGAAACCTGTAATTCTTTCAAGAACAAAATTATGCCAGCATAGACCCAAAATCAGCTGCTTTGTGTCAAATGTTGGTGGTAACGTCGGTAATTTTGTGCCTGTTTGGGAACGGCGTGTAATGTTGGAAAAAACATGGGAATGATGACCATGGGCTGACTTTGTATACTTTGTGTGACTTTCTCAGTTACTGGACATAAAGGATCGATAAAGGCGAACGTTTCTCCAATTGATTGTTTGTAGTGATAAACTGACACCCCCAAGAGAAGGAGAGAGGGCTCGGAAGCGTGGCACGAGGACAGCTGGAGGACAAAAGGAGGACGGCAAAACAACTGGAGGACAAAATTCGCCACAGGAAGGCGACACGCGTACAAAGGGTTGAGGGGCGCGGCCACACACTGTGGCCAGCGTCTTTTACGCCAGCATGGACCCCAAGTTGCAAAAAGATTTGTGGGCAGCACACTGCAGCGGCACTCTGCAGCGCCCTCCAGCAGCGCCAGCACCCAGGCTCCAAAGCGCACACGGCCAAAGACACCTCGCGCATTTCGGGCGGCACCCTGCAGTGGCACCAGCAGCCAGGCTCCAAAGCGCACAAGTCCACACATCTGGCAGCGGCGCCCTGCAGCGGCACCGCCACCCAATAAGCTCCAAGGCACACACGGCCACAGCGCGCGCGCTGTCATGGTGTCATGTCTACGTGCTGCCATGCTGCCATCTGGACAAGCAGAAGGACAACAACGGGACAAGAAGAGGACAACGGCAGGAGAAGAAGATGACAAGAAGAGGAAAAGACAACGGACAAAAAGAGGATAACAGGAGGGCAAGAAAAGGACAAGAAGAGGCAGAAGAGGTCAAGAACAGGAGAAAAGGAGGACAACAGGAGGACAAGAAGAGGACAGGGAGCGGACAAAAAGAAACAGCAAAAGGACAAGGACTGGAGGTGGGCTAGCAGCCGCGCCAAGCTGAAAAGTGGACAACAGATGGACAACTAAAGAGGACAACAAAAAGACAATAGGCGGACATAGTGTTCACCGGCACGGCCAAGCTACATACCGGCAGGAGGAGAAAAAAATGACAACAGGAGGACAATGTCTGGAGACCCGCTGGCAGCCGCGGCCAAGCTGCACACCAGACGCAGGACAACAGGCGGACAACAGGAGTACTGTACAACCGGACACAGGCGTTTACCGTACCGACGCGGCCAGAGACTGTAGCCAGCTTCTTTTTACCTAGGACCTAAGCCTAAGAGAACTGAGAACCCCAACAGCAAGACCGTTTGAGGAAAAAGAGGACAACAGGAGGACAACACCCAAACACAGCGTTCACCGGTGCGGCCAGAGACTGGGGCCAGCTTCTTTTTTTTCTAAGAGAAAACCCCAACAGTAAACTGTTTGGGGAAAAAAGCAACAGTGAACTGCAAGAAGCTGCTAGGTGGAGGCCATCGCTATCAGGTTGGAGGGCATTACTACTAGTTAGCAAGAAGCTACTAGGGTCAAACTTCATTCCACCAGCCTCTTCGGCCGTCTCATCCACAAGCCTTGACCGAGAGATTTTAAAAAATAGTACTTCTCGCCTTTAGTAGGGCCCTGTCCAAATGGGCTCATTCAGGAGGTCTAAAGCATGCCTTGTTAAGGAAGTCTAGCAAATGGATGTCTAGATTCTAGATTGTGTAATCCACTCTCTTCAAAGGTTGTCGTTCAGACAATGCGTTCTGGGCTTCAGGCGGTGCACAGCTGCCGGCGGCCCAGTATTTGGCAACATGGCAGCCCATCGACCTTCACTCACTTAAGTCAGATTGCCATGCCCCATGAGCAAACAAGCAGCGCTAGACACCCTGGCCCTGCTCATTGCCATTTAATGCAGGCAGGCTGATGAAAAAGCCAAGGAAACAGACTAAGAGCCGTGCTTCTGGTCCACCGGCCGACCGCGCCACCCTTAACTTGTACCGGCCATCATCTCCATTGGCCTGCTGAGCCCTCTGGCTGTCCTACACATACAGGCAGCTCAGAACCTTCAACAAGTATGGGCTGAGTGGCTTGGCTGACTGCTTGGTTGTCTGACCCCCCCCTAGCTGGACTTGCCGACAAGTAAAAGCCACTTTCAGGTATTGTATCTAGACATGCAAAGTGAATGCCGGAAAGGTCTGGCGTCAACATGAGTTGACAGGCAAGATCCATCTTTGACATCTTTATTTCCTGTTTTCTCATCTCTTGGAGCATCCTTTGTGGCCAGCTTTTCCGCGGATAAGCATTCTCTGTGAAGTCTCTGCGGAGCTTCTGGCGTTGTGATCGGGCCGTCTGGGGAATTCAGGGTTCAGGTGCTCTCTCTCTCTCTCTATGTTTGAAAGGATATGATATATGGATAAATCCACTCCAGCTTTTGGGATCAAATACAACAGGTTCTCACTATTCGGGTCGTGTTGAGATCCTGGCTAAGCGATTTGCCAAACTCTGGCCAAGTTCTGAAACTGGCATCACACCCTGAACCCAGGGGAACATCAGCCGGCGGAACTTCCACTTCAATGCACTTCAGCCCAATCTAATTTGGATACAGTATGACTTCAAATCAAATCGTGCAACTACTGGCCTCACTTCTCCTCACTATCAGACCTGCTAATGGCAAGGCTGGAGTTGTTCACTGCTTGCTTGGACAAATGCACTCTATTTGGTGCAAGAAATTATCGACATCAGCATGGGTTATATATGTTTTACAATTGACTTGGCACCTTTCTCCAATCTTCCACGCCGACTAGGCAGCTTTGCGCCCACATGCAGATCCTACTTGGCCATCATTTGAAACAAGTGAAGACTAAAGTCACTGTCGGCTTCTGTTGAGAACCGCTTTGAAAGACTAAGAAAGGTGTGGCACCTCAGGCAACTTCAATGATATCAATCTCCAAGTCGCTGGGCATGTCCTGAAGTTTTGCCTTCTCTTGATATCTTTGGAGGTGCTGCAAAAGGGGTAAGTGTTGCTCTGCCACCGCAAAGGATTGAAATGTGGAAATGGACGCGGCACTTGCAGGCACATTGGCCGCACAACGAAGCTTGGTGGCAAGACCGTCAGATGCGCCCACGGAGATCCTGAACGGACGGTCATGCACTCCCAGTGCCACAGACAAGTGTGACTGCCGCAAAGGCTTTGATGTGGATGAAATTGACAAGACCGATCCAGAAGAATCCCAGGGCTGTCCGGTGTCGTCCTTCACAACTTCAACCTTGAGTTCCTTCAAAGCCGGAAGCAAATAACCAGCTGCTAACAAATCTCGTAAACCTGTGCTGCAGAAGTGACGGCTCACTTTGATGAGTCCTTCAATTCGTTGCCCAGGCCTCCTGCTCATCCTCCCCAAAGCAATGTTGGGACTTCGTATCTGCAAGCGTTCAAGGCCAGGCGCCAATGATGCCAAGACCGACAAATCACAACGGCAATGAGGAGAATTCCAAGTGGATCCATGGCCACGAACGATTGCGACAAAGCTCAAATCTCTAAGCTTCACCAAGGCTCGACCATCACATCCAGCTTCTCCAAGGCTTGATCCCCTCGCTTTCTCACGTCGCACAGCAGCAGCTGGAAGCTCCAGCCGCTCCGACCCCGTTCGATGTTCTGCATCCAGCAGCGCGTTTCCGGTCACTTCGAGCCCTTCGGACCGTTCGGCTCGGTCGGCGCTTTCGGGCACCTCGGAGTCAGCTTGCCGCACCGCTCCAGGAGATCCTTGACCCCCTTGAAGCCCTTGGCCCGGCAGGTACTCACCGGCCCTTTCCTCACCAACCTCCCACAGGATCTCTTCTGGCTCGGAAGTGCTGTCAGAATCACAGGCTTCCGGCAGTTCGTTCGTCTCCAACTTTAAATAATCACAAACCAAACGCTCCAAGTTGGGAAAGGAACTCAACCAGGCAGCTGGCAAAGAAGCCATGTGTGCACCTGTATTGTGGGAAAAGCTCCCCAAGTTGAAATAAGGATCACACTCGATGGTCAAGGCACGCAACGAGTCGATCTGACAACTTGTTTGGCAGAAGCTCTCAAGGTCGCGGCCTCTGAAACCACCCAAATAAAGCTCCTCCAGTTGAGAGCATTTGGACAATTGCTCCAGGTTCAAGGAAGTACTGAGTCGAAAGGGACCATGACTTGCAATCTTCAAGAACCTGCGCACGCAGGGTTTAAGAACCTAGGAGCATGTCGGCATTTACAAATGCAAAGGTGAGAAGGAAGTTCGTGTCCACCATCAAGAAGCAAAGTCGAGCAAGGCCACTGACCATTGCAAAGGTCACATCAAAACAAAACTGTACAAACAGCTAGGTTTATGTGGTTCAAGACTCTGGATGACAGGACAGCAGCACATTTGCCTGCATTGACTCCAATGCCACCACAAATTGTATGAGTAACCCAAGTCAAAACGGACATCCTTCCCCACAAGGCACAAACGATGAATCCCACATTTGCCGGATGTTTTTGTTTCGATGAAACCACTCAGTTGGTTGGAAAGAAACTTGGAGTAATGAACAAAATGATAGACCTGTCTCGAGCTTGTCCAAAATCGATTTCGACTGCTGGCCTCACACTGCCCCCAAACCTCTTTAAAAGGCTGCTCAAGCAAGCCAAATCTTCTGGCTCTGGCACGAGCTGGGCCCAGAGGGAAGGCTCAATGACGGCCTCACCAATTGGACTCAGTACAAAGCACCCATGCAGCGTCCTTGCTCCTAGTAGTAAGGGCAGGAGCCCCTAGTAGCGTCCTTGCTCCTAGTAGGAAGGCCAGGAGCCCCTAGTAGCGTCCTTGCTCCTAGTAGCGATGTCAGGAGCCCATAGTAGCGTCCTTGATGCAAACATTTCTCAACGACGACATTGTAGACGACATGCGGGCCTTTAAAAGAGTTGAGGCCTAGGGTCTGACATCTCAAGTCGAAGCAAAATCCAAAGCAGTCTGCCTCATGCCAACGACGGGCTAAAGAAGCACAGCGCAAGCGCTCGTGCAAAGGGCTAAAGGCCAAACAATTGCAGAGAGCATCCAAGGGACATCGATTCATCCGGCTGCACTTTCAAAAGAGTTGAATCGAAGGCAGTGCTGGTGTGTCGAATCTGGTATGCTAGAGGGCCTACACTGCAGTATGGAATCTATGTGTCGGCTCTATATCTGCGAAATGGCAACAAAAATTCTATTGAGTCTCTTGGCTGTGTTTGTCACTCTTTGGTTGTGATATTCTTGATCATTTGATGCTGGGCTATGGTTCCTCCAACTGCAACAGCTCATCTGAGCCGATCTTTGCACATGTAGTTTGACGTTCAACACTGTGAAAGCAAGCTGCGGTACCCCACTCCTGCATTTGCTATTCAGCACTCCAGCTTTTGACCAGATACTTCATTGTGTAGCACGTGACACTCTGTGTTCACACTTCGGCACTTCAGTCGAAGTACCAATTCAGTACTTCAAAGGGACAGCTCTACATCCCTGCCGTTGCTCTAGGCTTCAGCTGCCAGCTTGGACATACCCAAAGAATGTATCTAAAATTCATTGGTCAATCCGCCAGGTAGATAAGGGATGGCCCAACTTATCCTACGGTAAGGTAAGTTATGAAAGAAATAGGCCAGATCCCTAGCGGCTCTACCTACACGAACAAGTGCACGGTGCGAGTCAGAATGACGAGTACCCGTGACTAACGAAAAGCCGAACGAACGAAGGCACGGCGGCGATCGAACGAACGGAAGGGTGCGAGTCCAAGCGAACGGACGCGGAAGCGAAAGCAACGAAGGTGCGGCCCACACAGTGAGCACAGCACGGCGCCCTGAAGAAAACAGCGCGGCAGCACCGTTTTCTTGAGCCAATATGTCACGAGGAACGTACACTTTTGTGTATGCTCGTGTGAAACGTGACAAAGTAAAATGACTGTACATGTGGAGTACTGTTACATGTTAGGGGCCTGACTCCCTCGTCCCCGTTGCGGGGCAGTACTCTTATGTACACGCACGAATTACCGCGCCGGGTGGCAGCGGTTTCGACGACCTACGAACCTACGAACGGCTTGGAAGGCTTCGGTGCCAAGCAAGCATAGCGCTTTAAACCACTTCTGGGGCGGTAGCGCCTTAGTGAATATATCGGCGGCTTGCTCGTTAGTATCAACATACTTGATCTCGACGGCAGGGTCGTCAATACATTCTTTTAACGAACTTAGGTTGATTTTATGAGTTCGGCTGATGTGTCTCAATTTGGGGAGAAAAGCCCTTCCTCGCCACAAGAATCGTCGCCTGATTATCTTCTTGAATTACGAGGTTAACGGCTCGTCCAAGAAGTTTATCCCATAACTGCAAGGAAGGGAGTCCTTCCTGATATAGCGAGTATGCGAGACTCACGACTTCTGATTCAGTGGTGGACCTCGACGTAGACGTCTGGCGTTTGGACACCCATGCTAGTACCCACCATAGGTTGGTTTAACGTCACGTTGGTCGCCGCCGAAGTCGGCCTCTACAAACAACTCAAGCCAGAGCTCACTGCCTAGACGCTCTAACGCTGCGCTGGGGACAGCGCTATCAACAAACGACACCCTCACATGTTGTTCGTTGAAAACGGCTTCGTCTGCATTCGCATAGTTCGCATATAGGTCATATCCTTTCTTGCGCTCCGCTGCCAAACCTGCTTTTTGACTCCTAAAGTTTTAGGGGTTTAAATGGCGAACGACAACGCCACTTACCTGCGGACGACAGCGGAACCTGTCATTTCGCTAAAGCGCGCACACAAGCAAGAACGGAACCTGTCGTTTGGCAAAGCACACACATGCGCAAACGATAGCGGAACCTGTCGTTTGCTATTGGCGCGCTTGCGACAACAGAAAGTGTCGTATGGATACCATGGCTTTCCTGAACCAAAGCATCTTGTTGTGCAAGAAAGTAAGTCATTGAGCCACTGTTTTTGGGCAAGAAACCCAATCCTTGAGCCAGACCATGTTTTTGTACGAGAAACGCTCGATGCGCGGTGAGTTTTAGTTCTCTAACATCGGTTCTTTTTGGTGTGTGTGTGAGAGAAAAACTGTTTTTGACTGAGTTTGACCGCCGTGAGCCGTTTCGGTGGGAACATGTTTTTATGCGCGCGTGGACATGTTCAGCCATATATAGTATATAGGAGCAAAACAGGATATATATAGAAGTTAGAAGTTGGAAAAGAAGTGAAAAGCTGGCGCCTCCTCCTGGCATGTCCCTAGCAGTAAGGCCAGGACCTACTAGTAGTGTCCTTTCTCCTACTGGTGCGGCGTGGCACTTTCTTCACTGCGTCGATCGCTGGCTCTGGGCAGCTCAGAACCCCGGCTGCAAGACCCGGCAAGCTTGGAGATCTAGAGTGGGAAAGGGAAACTGTAGTGGAAACCTGAGCGCTACACCTTAAGCTTATAAGGTCTCGGGAACCTTAAGAAACTTTAGGGCGCAGTCACCCTCCAGATCTCACAACAGCTTGCGTTTGAAGATCACTCCTTCGAGCGAAAAAAACAAGCCAACGAGAGGACAACCCTTTGGAGCACACGGTATTGCATGCTTTTTGCATGGCACTTCCGCGCTATGTGTTTCAAGCGCCCCAGAAAAGATTCATCACTTGTGCAATTAAAAGCCTTTGGATTCAAGGCCTGTGTGCGCA